GCGAAGACGAAGAAGATGAATCGAGAGTGATTGAGCGCCGTTTCGGCCAAGACCAAAACCCTAATCCCATTCATCTAAACACATTTGTTTACCCTAAAACCAATTATCATGTTTTGGACCTAAACCTGTTTTCCTGCCTTAAAGCCCAAACGAAATTGCTTTTACACCCCCCCTGCTTCTGTTATTGATTGGGCCTCTTTGACACCTTTTAGCCCATACAATATTTTGTTTATCTACCCTTTAATTCTAATACGCCATTCCTCCTATTTTATTTTCTATTAGCCTTTTTTATAATGTTATTAGTTTAATTAATTAGTGAACCTAATATAATAAAGGAGTTAATTTAATCAGACATTTTTTTAATATTTTATCCAATCCTATTTAGTTTAAGTTTAGGTTTATCTTAATAATTTTAGTCTTCCTTATTTCTAATTAGATTTAAATTAATGACTGTAAGCTTTAATTTAGTTTAATTATTTAATAAACTCTTAAAATAAATACTTTTTATTAATATTAAAAAAAGCATATAAAAAAAAAGAAACTTAAAAAACTTAAAAAAAACATTTTTATTACCCTTAATTAATTCTCATTGCCTTCATCCATATGAGAAATACGTAAAATGAAGAAACAATTAAAACATTTTCTTTTCATATATTAAACAAAAAATCTAAAAATGCACGTTCACATACTTAGTCTCTTATTAAATTTGTCATATATCATTTATCTCTCATAATTTTCTGTTTAAATATTTCATCTTTTATTTGATTATTCTGTTTGCGCCAATCCAAGGGAATTGTCTAATTTTTGTTGACTTCATGTCCTCAAAAAAAACGATCGAGCGAATACTCTCATTCATTAAAAGCTTAGGGTAATTTTTCATCACAAAAATTCAACCTTTTCAAAACTTATACCATTTTAAGTCAAAACTTCGACGTTAGGTCGTCGTATATTCCAAAACCTATCTGTATCCCTTTTCGGCCAAAACGATTTATTTTTATCAAGCAATCAAATTTTAAATAAACAGATATTTCAAAAGGTTCCTATAGAGTACTATAGATACATTGGGTGCTAATACCTTCCCATTGTATAACCAACCCCCGAACCATAAGATCTCTTGTCAAAAAAACGCTTTGTATTTTTATTATTATTTACATTGCATATTTAGGGTTTTATTTCGCTCTTTTCCCTTTTCCTTTGGAAACAATAAAGCGCGGTGGCGACTCTTGATTTTGTGAGACGAATTAATCAATAATTCGATCTCCGATTTACCCCGCTACATTTTGTATCGCTACACTATGTACCAGATCTCAAGACCAACATATTAAGTCTGGGACAACTTACAGAAAAAGGTGCTTCGATACTTATGAAAGATCGAACACTTCATTTGAAGGACAAAGTAGGACATCTGATTTCCAGTGTTGAAATGGAAAGAAATCAAATGTACAAACTGAACCTGAGGAACATTCGAGAGAAATGTCTGCAAATTAAAGTGCAAGACAAAGCGTCACTATGGCATATGTGCTTTGGTCATCTACATCATGCTGGTTTGAAAAGGTTGGCGAAAAGGAACATGGTGCATGGACTACCAGACATGGATTTCGAAGGAAAATTCTGTGAAGAATGTGTGCTCAGCAAACAAACAAGAACCTCATTTCAAAGGAAGGCAGAGTATCAAGCTAAACATATTCTCGAATTGATACACACTGACATATGTGGGCCAATCACTCCAGAATCCTTCAGTGGAAAAATGTACTTCATTTCCTTTATTTATGACTTCTCAAGAAAAACCTGGGTTTACTTCCTGAAAGAAAAATCTGAAGCATTAGAAGTGTTCAAAAAGTTCAAAGTAATGGTGGAGAAGGCAACAGACAGACATATCAAAGCAATTCGATCTGACAGAGGAGGTGAGTATACTTCAATGGCCTTTGTGAGGTACTGTGAAGGACAGGGCATAAGGAGATTCCTAACTGCACCATATTCACCTCAACAAAATGGTGTGGCTGAAAGGAAGAATCGAACTATTCTCGACATGATTCAATCAATGCTCAAAAGAAAGAACATGTCGAAAGAATTCTGGGCAGAAGCAGTACAATGTGCTGTTTATATTCAGAATAGATGTCCACATTCGAAGTTAGAAGACAAAACACCATAAGAAGCATGGAGTGGACAGAAGCCAGCAGTTTCTCATTTCAAGGTATTTGGTAGTATAGCTTATGCACATGTACCAGATCAACAAAGAACAAAGCTTGAAGACAAAAGTCAGAAGTACATATTCATTGGATATGATGAGAAGACGAAAGGCTACAAGCTCTTCGATCCCATAAGTAAGAAAGTGATCGTGAGTAGAGATGTTCGAATGAACGAAGCAAGCAAGTGGGACTGGAACAATTCGACAAAGGTTATTGACGCAGTCGAAGAAACAACGGTAGCTGTACCAACAAACATTCCAACAGAACATGAAGAAACTGAAGATGAAGATGAACCTCTACAACCAAAAATGAGAATTTTGTAAGATTTGTATGATTCAACAAGTGAGGTGCATCTTGTGTGTCTTCTGGAAGATGCTGAAAACATCAGTGTCGAAGAAGCGTTACGAGACAAGAAGTGGAAAAGTGCCATGGACGAAGAGATTAGAGCAACCGAACGCAACAATACTTGGGAGCTAGTCGAATTGTCAAAAGATAGTCAACCCATTGTTGTAAAGTGGGTATTCAAGAAAAAGATGAATGCCCAAGGAGAAATCGAAAGATTCAAAGCATGACTGGCTGCGAAGAGATACAAACAGAAAGCAGGAATTGACTATGATGAAGTGTTTGCGCCTGTTTCAAGAATGGAGACAATTCGATTACTCATTTCTCAAGCTGCTCAATTCAAATGGCCAATATTTCAAATGGATGTCAAGACAACATTTTTGAATGGTTTGCTCGAAGAAGAAATCTATGTCGAACAACCACTTGAATATATGAGAATTGGAGAAGAGAAGAAGGTATTGAAACTGAAGAAATCGCTGTATGGGCTGAAGTAAGCACCTAGGGCATGGAACACACTTATTGACACATATTTCAAAGAGAATGGGTTCGAGCAATGTTCTTATGAACCCGCCCTCTATGTGAAGAAAAATGGAAGTAATTTATTACTTGTTGCTCTCTATGTTGATGACCTTATCTTTCTAAGCAGTGATGTTCAGATGATCGAAGATTTCAAGAGCACCATGACAAGCGAATTCGAAATGACAGACTTACGTCTGATGAGATTCTTTCTTAGTCTGGAGGTTCGACAAGAAGAAGCTGGAATTTTTATCTCACAAGAAAGATATGCAAAAGAAATCCTAGAAAAATATAAAATGAAAAATTGCAATCCAACTTCGACGCCAATGGAACCAGGTACAAAACTGTCAAAGTTTGATGGAGGAGAACGGGTCGAAGGAAGCAAATATCGAAGCTTGGTAGGTAGCCTTCGATAACTCACATGTACAAGGCCAGACATTTCACTAAGTGTTGGCGTGCTAAGTCGATTCATGGAGGATCCAGTACACACACATTGGAAGGCGCTGAAACGAATTCTAAGATACATCCAAGGAACAGTATCACTAGGAATTCTTTATTCAAAAACAGAAGACTACAAGTTAGTTGGTTATTCAGACAGTGACTGGTGCGGAGACATAGACGATCGAGAGCATCTCTGAATATGTGTTTTTCATGGGAAACACAGAATTTACTTGGCTATCGAAGAAGCAACCTATAGTAACACTTTCGACGTGTGAAGCTGAATATGTGGCGGCATCCTGGTGCGTCTGTCATGCAGTATGGCTCAGAAGGTTGATAAGCAAGATGGAGCTAAAACAGGAAGGTACAACAATAATACAAGTGGACAATAAATCAGCTATCGAATTGGCAAAGAATCCAGTGAATCATGAACGAAGTAAACACATTGATGTTCGATTTCACTTCATTCGTGAACATGTGAAGGAGGAAAGTGTTGAATTAAGGCATGTAGCAAGCAAAAACCAAGCAGCGGATATTTTCACAAAACCACTATCTAAAGAGATCTTCGACAGAGGCAAGAAGATGATAGGAATGCTGGATGGAAGAAACATTTAAGTTTACAGAGAAGTTTTGTTGAATAAACTTTAATGTTATTAGTAATAAGTTTCATATTAAATATGATAGTAGGAAGGATAAAAATTAGTAAGTTATGATAGTTTTATTAGTAGCAGTTATATTTTTAGAATTGTAAAAGTTATTAGGTCTATATAAAGACCAAGAGTGTATTTTATTTATCAAGAGTAATATAGAAGTAATCACAAAATAAAAGTCTGATTATTTATAACAGAATAGTCATCTGAGACGAAGGTTTTCAGAACAAGTCCGAATTTGGTTTTTTTAAAATCATGTTGAAGTCTTGAATCTTCAACCGTTAAAGGTAGATGTGTTACTAGAACATATCATTTGCTATGGAATGGAGGAAAAGAGAATGTTGTATACATCGATTTCCCCCAATGATAAGATCTGAAACTAATATGTCTTGGTGATATATTCAATGTTGATAGAATGGAAGATTCCAAAAGTGGTTCCTTCGTTAATGTTCTTCTCCGTATAGGAAACAAAGAGGGGATGATGCATGCAAGAGAGTCACTCAAGTTTGTGACTTAATAAGACATGGAATAATGAGTGTGGGGAAAGGGTATGTGATCATTTATTATACTTAGCTTTTTAAATTTCAAATTTGAAAAAAAGGCCGACAAAGTAGTGTGAAGTGAGTAATGAGAAGCAAGTGAGGGTGGTGAAGTGTATTGAATAATCTATAAGGACATACTGTACAGCATTTAATGCTATACACTGAGCTCGTTGTGTGGTGGAAAACCGAGACTAGTTAACTCCACTTTTGATGTCTATAATCTTGTGTCATAAGTTCAACATGATAGCAATACATATGTAACTCCACTTTGCTTGTGAAGCTCCATAAATCCTTACCTCAATTTATAGACAAAACATAAGAAAATGAAACTCAACAGCATTTCATTTTTGTCCAAGCTTCTCATACTTCAATATCTGTCAGTTCAATGCCTTTCTGCTCAAGATTTTGCTTTCTTCTATTTTATTCAGCAGGTAAATCATTTAGTCATGAATGTTTCATTTTCCTATATATATAGTTTTTATTTTCTTAAAACTTTTTTTTATTCTTGAATTTTGCATTGTTTCTTTGTTAATGATGATGCAGTGGCCAGGTTCATACTGTGACACAAAGCATAGCTGCTGTTATCCGAAAACCGGAAAACCTATCGCAGATTTCACCATTTATGGACTTAGACCTAACTACAATGATGCATCATTTCCCTCAAACTGTGATCCTCATAGTATCTTTGATAAATCTAAGGTATTCATTTTATTTTAAAAATATATATGTATTTAATTGGTGTTCATGGTTTTATTAGTGCATTTCTCTGAAAAACTCATCTATAGATCTCAGACCTCATTAAGAACTTGGAAAAGAATTGGCCATCTCTGAGCTGTCCAAGTAGCAATGGTATTAGATTATGGTCACATGAATGGATCCAACATGGTACATGTTCAGAATCTAAACTTATTCAACATGACTACTTTGAAACAGCTCTCAAACTCAAGAAAAAACTTAACCTACTTCAGATCCTCAAGAATGCAGGTAACAAAACATGATTTTGAAGCATATATACTGGTATATATTTGAAAATTTTCTAATTGTTTAATGGCAATGAATTTCAGGGATTGAACCAAATGATAAATTTTACGACCAATACAGCTTTTTAGATGCTATACAACAAGCTACAGGGTTTCTACCAGGAGTAGAATGTAATACAGATTCATCACATAACAGTCAGCTTTTGAAAGTTTACATGTGTGTGGATACTTCTGGCTCAAAGTTCATTGAGTGCCCTGGTGTTCCAATGGGTAGCTGTGGTGCTAAAGTACAATTCCCTAAGTTTTAAGATAATTTGTTTTGTTAAGCAAAACATGGTTTAATTAATTTAGATTTTCTAGTATCCATGTTGTACTTCTAATTCTAAACTGTCATATCATTTCCATTCTCATCTTATTTTTGAAACATTAAAGCCTGTTTTAGTTTTCTTTTGAGGTGCATTCATAAAAAAACACTATAAAAAATATAAGATCTGTTACTATAATTTTGCTAAGAAAAGTAATGGCAGTTAATCTCAAATTTATTAGATATTATAGAAAAACCAGGAAATAATGGTTTAATTGTTAGACCTTTTACTTGCTAAAAAATTACAATGAGATAGTCATGTGCTTGTACGACTGTATGTGGTATTTAGGGTATTGAGATAGAGGCTTTAGGGCTTGCCCCTTTAGAACCAAGGAGTGGTTATTCTAACTCTTCCCTCTAAAAAGTGGAGAATATGTTAATTGTTTCTCATATGATCATGGGAAATATGGCTTTCTTCCATGACTGACTTCTTCCACCCGTTGGGAAAATAGGTATGTCATCACTACACACGTTCACTAAACATGTGGATAATGGAATCACTTTGGGTGGCCTAAGATCAATCAAGACGCCTTACGGTATACCCCAGGCGGCATGTGGTGTTAAAGATATACTCGTCCAACGTTCCTTCGAGTGACCTAATGGCGATATTGTGATACACGCCTAGGCCAACGAGTTTGACTTATCTTGATCCCTTGTGGATCATCTTCTTTTAGGTCCAATAAAATCATCCCAGTACACAGTGCCTCAAGCAAGAGATTTGTAAAGGGTGAAATGATTTAGTTTGCATGCCTTTAGATTTCAGATGCCCGCAAAAGGGTGAAGTGATTTCGTTTTCTTCTACACATTGATTTGTTTGGACCAGTGAAAACTGCGTCAATCAATAGAAAGAAGTATGGATTAGTCATTGTTGATTACTATAGCAGATGGACATGGGTGAAGTTTCTTAGACACAAGGATGAGTCACATTCTATGTTCACCACCTTCTTTAACCAAGTGCAAAATGAGATGAGTCTCAAAATTCTCAATGTTAGAAGTGATCATGGTGGAGAGTTTGAGAACAAACACTTTGAGAAGCTGTTAGATGATAGTGGTATTTCTCATGATTTCTCCTGCCACAGAACTCCACGGAAAAATGGAGTTGTAGAGAGGAAGAACATGACTTTACAAGAAATGGCCATAACTATGATCAATGAAACTAACATGGCAAAGCATTTCTGGACAGAGGTTGTAAACACATTGTGTTACATTCAGAACAGGTTCTGTGTAAGACCTACTCTGGGTAAGACTCCCTATGAATTGTGGAAGAACAAGAAGCCCAATATTTCTTATTTTTATCATTTTGGATGCTCTTGTTTTATCTTAAACACTAAAGAGAGTCTTAACAAGTTTCATTATAAAGCTCAAAGTTATATCATTTTAGGATATTATGAACGCTCAAAAGGCTAAAAAGTATACAACAATGAAACACTTATTGTTGAAGAATAAATCAATGTTAGATTTGATGATAAGCTTGACTTTGAAAATTCAAAGCTAGTTAAAAAGTTTGTAGATCTGGAGATTACCTTTTCAAACGCTGAGGGTAATGAAGTTGTTATAGAAGAAAAAGAAGCCAAAGACTCAGAATATGCTCAACCAGAAGCTGTTGAAGTACATATCATCTTACAAATGAAACTTCGGATCATCAAGATGTAGCCTCCAATGTTGTTTTCTAAGCCTCTAATCTCCAAGAGTGGTTCTGATGGAGTTTGGAGTAAAAAGCCCCAAAACTATCTCAAAAAATTATGAACAAATGAATATATAGTGTCTCAAAAAGTGAAATCGTGCTAAGCCCATGCATAGGGAGCTTGTGCGACCACGAAAATACAAGCAAACCGCCTTAGAGTGCGCTGAGCACGGTAGACCAGGATGAGCGGGCTCAGGTTTATTTCTCTCTTGCCAAGCTACTCAAGACGCGCTCTAACTTGGGCTAAGTGAAATCTACGCTACAAATTGGGATTAGCCTACTTGACATAACTTTATCTCTAACTTTTATCTTTGAAGTTGTGTCTTTGGATCTTATTAATCAATGCTTCAATCACACATGAATACCTACAAAAATGAGATGAAAACAATCAATCGATACAATATTTACACAGAAATTCGACTATACATAATATGTACATATTTACATACTATATTCCAACAAAATAAGTCAATAAGTGCCACAAAACTATACACAAATATAACTATAATTTGGCACTTATCAGCCACCCCGCTAGAGAACGCGATTGATGTAGTTGGTGAATGGTAATAGGGTGTGTCCCAGGTTAGTTTTATCAGGGCCCATGGTGAGTGCAAGTTGTACTTGATATAAACGTACAATAAGGGATATTTATGTTTGTATGTAGGTTTTTTGAATATATAACTCCATACATAAAAGGGGGTGAATTATGGAGGTTTGAAAAATGACCGTTTAAAATAAAATAATTTTCTAAATCAGAGTTCTAAAATATTTTCTATAAAAATTTGGATATGCAATAGAAAAACCTAATAAATAAAATATGTGAAAAAGTAAAAGAGTTATTAGAAGAGAGATTACACCAGAGATTTTTAGAGGTTCAGTCTTAAAGAAGTGACCTACCATTTTCCTCAAGAACTGATCTTGAGAGTACCAAATAATGCTTGAGAGCTTTTATAAGGTTAAGCCCATGAACTCTCTTATACAAGGAAAATGAAGTTCCAGGTTAACTTTCAACTAAACAATAAACTGAGGAAAAAAGAAGTTAGTTTTCACGCCAAATAACGAACAGAGCTTCAACCGGTTAATCTCTAGGTCAAATTGAGATTTTGCATCAGCTGATCTCAAAACAAGTTGGAGTTTTTAGTTGGCTATCCTCCAAACTGAATCTAGGTTTAATACGATTTTACTATAAACTGAACCAATACTTTATCGGGATGATCTTGAACCGAACTGAGATTTTTATCGGGCTGATCTCAAACCTATTGAGCTTTAACACAGGCTAAACTCAGAAACCGGGTGAATTTATACTAGGATAATCTAGAACGAATAGTTCTTTTAACCGGGATGAGCTCAAGAACCCTTGTGAAAAATTTTCCATGGTTAGTCTTCACAAACTCACACTACAACATTTTTGAGTTTAGGTCACACTTCACTTGTCGGCTTAAAACAACAATAAACTGTGGATTTTAAAGTATTGCTTAAAACTTACATATATATATATATATATAATACACTATATGAATTCAAACAAAAATATACGCCTATTATATTATAGGAAACACTTTAAAAGTGTAGATACTTCTAACCACTAAAAAAATATGTGCTCTATTTAATTTTAATGGCAACATAGTTTTAACCATGGCTAAAACCTTTTTAGTGTTGCCTTAGATCATAGAAGAATAATCAGTGGGAAGGATAAAATTTGAGCGGGTAAATTTTGGAGGTTATTTTTATATTATAAAGGATTAAATATATATATTTTCTTATAAATTACGAAAATTTGTTTTGAAATCTTATAAAAAAATATGACATGTTTTAGTCTCGATAAAATTATTATGCACGTAATTTTAGTCCCTGTTATTAAACTGACGTGTATTTTTAAATGATTATTTTGTAAACATGTTTAGAACGTTATAAAAAATTTCTCGAAAAAAAGAAACTCAAAATTCCATTTTTAAGTCGAGATTTTCATTACTTTTATCAATATCTTTTGAAATTTAAAAAATTCATATTTAATTCTTCTCATTTTAGAAAATTCTAAAATTTGGTAAAGAAATATTTTATAGTATTCTAAACACGTATAAAAAAATTATTCAAAAATTTTAAAGTTTAAAGATAATTAAACGGTTTTTAAAATTTTAGAAAATAGCAGGGACTAAAATTGCATGAATAAAATTTTTTAAGGACTAAAATTTATTATTTTTTAATAGGGACTAAAAATGAAATTTAAGATATTTATAAGGACCAAAAACATATTTAACCCTATTTTAAATAAAAACATTAATATTTTATTTTAATTCTATAAAAATAGAAGGATTGTTCACGCCTTCCTTTCCATTTTCTTTGAAAACTCAAAACCCTTTGTTTCCTTCATTCCAACCCTCCACTTTCCAACCCTCTCGTTTGCTTAGAGTTTGCTTCATTAATTAAAAAAAATTCAACATAAATCATTCTTTCCAACCCTCATTTACTCCATTGTACTCACACATACAACAAACTAAAACACGTGAGCCGAACTACGACGCTCTGATTTCTTGAAAGGGATACGTATGCATTAGGTCGCGGAGCCTAGGTGAGCAAAACTTTGTAAATATTCCTTCTTTTCCCTATATTTTATTTTGCACGCATTCCCTCTTAGCATTAACCTTTAGACATAGATTTTTACACACCCTTAGATTAGAGAAAACTTAAGTGGATCATGTGGAGTACCACAGACGCGTAGGGTGCTAATACCTTCCCCTCGCGTAACCGGATTTCATACCCTTTCTCTTGGTAGCAAGACCATCTTATCCATTTCTTTTAGGTTCTCTCGATATCTTCCCTTCCTTTGGGATGAATAGAGTTCGGTGACGGCTCTGTGTTTTTTTTCCGGGGAGGGACAGCTGACGACTCTGGTGGGGACCTAGCAAGTCGATCTTAGATTTTGTTTGCTTTCTTGTCTTTGAGCGTTTTATATGTTATTGCTTTATTTCTTATTTATTTACATGCTTATGTGCATATGTTTGCATAGCATTTTACTGCTTTTCATATACAGTTGTTGTGATGGCTCTGTTTCCTTGTTGGATGGATGTTACTATTGAGGTAAAAGACCCAATACCCAGGCCAGAGTAGTAAACTCTTAGGAACACATATGAATAGAGTGGAACATGATGGCTAGGGGATATATATCTTCCTAGTGCGGTCATGTTTTCCATGATCAGATGAGGTTTTAATGAAGTACTATCATTATCACGTAGGTGTATGATGATAGTATTCTCAAGTGA